GTTTCGCATCAAGTCATACCGAACTCCTCATTTCGAATTGGACCAATACATAGAAACCACTCTTGCGTTCGTGAGAACTTACGTTTTTAATAAAAACTTTTTATCACTTTCATGACACTTAGCACCCCGGCCGAGGTATCGACAGCACAAAATCATCATGCTATTGGCGTATTAAATGCTGTTCCCGACATCTCGTCTGAACTCATACGACCTCCTTTTGCAACTCTAGCCCCTAAGTCTCGCGCGAGTTAATGAAATTTATAACAAAACAAGGACTTACTATAATGCCGACAAGTGAGACGGGATACCGATGAACTTCATAATGATAGATTTGTTTAGAGAAAAATGTTGAAGCCTACCACATCATCCAAACCGACGACTGGAGAATTAGCAAGATAAATGAGTTAATAACTATGAAAACGCATACACAGGGGCGGACCGACAAATCGTGTTAAGACGGATCACGTTGGAGGAGTGTTGGTCAAATTGTTGAAGTTGTGTAGATATTGTGTAAAGCAGCCACGTGGCTGCAATGATTACCAAATACAGTGTCCGTCGTTAAATCGCGACTTGTAGAATCTAATTTTCGTCATTTAATGATATTCAATTCAAATCCAACATTTGAAACAAATTAGATATACATTCTATTATTTTATACCCTTGGATATCATATTTTACTCATCCGTTGCTTATTCCAATCTAGAACAGTCCAAAGTCCACGTGGCTTCGTACTTAGCGCGCTTCGACGTACACGTGGCGATCCGACCCAACCGACTTGAAGGCCTTCATTCCGTCGAGGGCATTCGAGAATTTGCGCTCTCCAAGCACGAACGAACCGACCAACACTCTTCAAATCTGTACAATGCTGACCAAGCTGGTGGTGGCTATGGCCGCTGTGGCCGCGACTGTGGCCCAGGCCGAGACGATCTTCCGCGAGACGTTTGACGACGCCGACTGGGAGAGCCGCTGGGTGGCCTCGACGTGGAAGCCCGCGGCCGAGGTGGGCAAGTTCGAGCAGGTGGTGGGCAAGCACTACGTGGAGGAGGGCGACAAGGCCATCAAGACGAGCGAGGACGCGCGCTTCTACGCTCTGTCGGCCAAGTTCGACAAGCCCCTGAACAACAAGGGCAAGGACCTATACCTCTCGTATCTGGTGCAGCACGAGCAGAAGCTGGACTGCGGTGGCGCCTACATTAAGCTGCTCCCTGCTGACGTGGACCAGGAGAACTTTGGCGGTGAGTCGCCCTACGCTGTCATGTTCGGCCCCGATATCTGCGGTAGCACCAAGAAGACCCACGCCATTCTAAACTACGCACGTCCGGGCGAGGATGCCGTCAACATGGACCACAAGGACACGATTCGTGCCGAATCCGACACGGACGCCCACGTGTACTCGTTCGTTCTTAAGCAGGACAACACGTACGAGGTCAAGATCGACGGTAAGACCATCAAGGAGGGTCCCTTGGACAAGAGCTGGCCGTTCCAGCCCGAGAAGCAGATCAAGGACCCCAACCAGTCCAAGCCCAAGGACTGGGTGGACGCTAAGCAGATTCCCGACCCAGAGGACAAGAAACCCGAGGGATGGGACGACATTCCCAAGACCATCCCGGACCCGGACGCCGAGAAGCCCGAGGACTGGGACGACGAGGACGACGGAGAGTGGGAACCGGCGATGATCGAGAACCCGGAGTACAAGGGCGAGTGGAAGCCCAAGATGATCGACAACCCGGACTACAAGGGCGAGTGGGAACACCCGATGATCGACAACCCGGACTACTTCGAGGACGACGCCATGTACAACGTGGCCAAGAATGTTGGTGCTGTTGGTTTCGAGCTGTGGCAGGTCAAGAGCGGCACTCTGTTCGACGATATCTTGGTCACGGACAGCGAGGAGGAGTTCAACGCTCACGAGGAGGCTGTTCTGGCTAAGACGGAGGCGATGGCTGCTAAGAAGAAGCAGATTCAGGACGAAGAGAAGGCCAAGAAGGAGGCCGAGGCGAAGGCGAAGGAGGCGGAGAAGGAAGACGCTGACGAGGCTGATGATGAGGAGGAAGAAGCCGCTGAAGAGGCGGAGGAGACCAAGGAGGAGGCTAAGGAAGAGACCCAGGAGGAGAAGGCTGAGAAGGACGAGCTGTAGACGTCGACCCAAAAAATAGTCCCCTTCTTACTTT